CCCTTTCTGAGCTTCAGGGGAAGGGAGTGATGTGGAAGCCCCATCGGAAAGCCTGGGAGAGTAAGCTCTCACAGGAGAGGCATTTGTTAGAACATGGTCCAATAAAAGAGAGTAACTTCATAAAGCAAACCATATTTCATAGCACAGATTACTCTCCATGTTGAAAAAGTCTTCCCTTTTATTAATCTTGAAAGGCTACTATTTAAAAAAGCATCTGAAACACTAGAGCCCAATGCAATATATAGGCTTTAACTTCTGCTTCCCTTTGCTGTTCCTGTAGGTATTTTGGTTTTTATTCAATCCGAGGAATGAAGAGCACAAATTAAGTTTTTTAAAAATCTGTCTACAAAACAGAGGGGTGTTTCCTCTATCCAACTGTGGCTAAGCGGTCCCTTTGTTGACAGTAACCACAGAGGGGCCAAAAGTTCACCCTTGTTTATGACATCTTTCATTTCTTAATGCCAGCTAAAGAGTTATTTTAAAATGTAACTAGTCAACTAAAAAAAATAATCCTATTGAAAATGGGCAAGGGGCTTGAATAGACATTTCTCCAGAGAAGATACACAAATAGCTCCTAAGCACATGAAAATATGCTCAACATCACTAATTATTAGGGAAATGTAAATCAAAACTACAATGGGATATCTCCTTATACCCACTAGAGCGGCTATTAGAAAAAAATGACAATTGTTTATGAGAATGGAGAGAAATTAGAACCCTGTTTCATGGCTGGGGGAAATGGTGCAGCTGCTATGGAAAATGGTATGGTAGTCCTCAGAAGGTTCAACATAGAAGTACCATATGCTTGAGCAATTCCACTTCTGGGTATATATTCAAAAGAATGAAAAGCAGGGTTTGGAATAGATTGTATATCCACGTTCATAGTATTAGTATTTATAATAGCCCCAAATTAAAAGCAACCCAGGGGTCCACCAGCAGATGAATGAATAAACAAAATGTGGTGTATTCATGCAATGGGATACTATTCGGCCCTAAAAAGGAAGGGCATTCTGACATATGCTACAACATGGATGAACCGTGAGGGCATTGTGCTTAGTGAAAGAAGCCGATCATAAAGAGGACAAATATTGTGTGATCTCACTTAGATGAGGTACCTAGAGTAGTCAAAGTCATAGAGACAGAAAGCAGAATGGTGCTCGTCGAGGCCTGGTTGGGGGCAGGAATGGGGAGTGACTGTTTAATGGATGCTGAGTTTCAGTTTGGAAAGATGAAAAAGTCCTAGAGATAGATGGTGTTGGTGTGGCACAACAATGTGAATGTACCTGGTGCCATTGAACCGCACACATAAATGGTTAAGATGGTAGGTTTTACATTATGTTTATTTTACCACAATAATAAAAAAAACTAACTGGTGTAGGAATTTGGCAAGACCAATAATACCCAAGGGTCCCCCACTCCCTCCCTAAATCCTCACAGACCCAGCTGATGCATGGATGGATGGATGGATGGATGGATGGATGGATGGATGGCAAGCTTCCCCCAAACTACATGATCTGCTTTTCTCTGCTAAGAAACACTTTAGCTTAAGACCCGTGCCCGTTGTTTAAAAAGCACCACGTGAACACCGGATGCTACCATGCTGGGTGTGGCACCTTCCTAGAACAGCTTGGGCCTGGCAGCTGTGCCCAGCTCCCCTGACTAGACCTGTTCCTTTTCTGATCTGCCAAGTTCCTGGGCAGATCCTGAGTTGATCATTGGTGCTGGAGGAAACAAAGAGATTGAGGCTCACGCCTTCTTAGAATGACCAGAAATGAAGTGGTCACCATTGATGTTTTTAAATTCCCAAATTACAGGTAGCAAAGCAAGTGTGGGCTATGGGAGGAAGGGGAGGTGGAGGCGGGGTTGGCGTAGAAGTAAACAGGCCATGTAGGGTCTGCCCAGGGAGCAGGAGGAGGAGTGGTTAGTGAGCTGCCAGCTGCTGAGCTGCCCGTGGAGTAGCACGGAGCTCTTCGTGGGGAGCTGTGCTGCTCGGGTCCTTTCTCTCTCCAAGGCCGCCTCCTGCAGAGCTCAGTGTCCTTGTTAACAGGCACCAGCACGGGACACCCCTCTCCTGCCCGTGGAATCTCAGAGATCTAAATCTGAGCACAGGCTGGGCTTATTCAGACCATGTGGGGCCGTAGGGGAGCAGGGACAATAGGTGGGGTTTGATACAGGCGCTGATCATGATGAGCTTTGCTAGCGATTAAGAGGCTACTTCCTGGTGCTAAGATGTTACCCTTAATTCATACTAACTTCCCACCTCAGAATTAGAGTATCAGAACGTTTTTGGTGTTTTTTTTCCCTTTTAGGAACTTTCACCTCCTGGCAGTTCACTAAGAAAATACATACATAATGGCAAAGTTACTGAACTTGGTGATGCTTTCTTTTAACAAAATGTGTGTCTTATTCACCCTAACATGCATTTGAAAGATAGTGGCACATACAGTGTGGCACATGGCATTTAGCTTCCCTGGGAAGGCCATGCATGTGTGTGATCCCACCCCCTGGCCCGCCACTCTGAGAAACTCCTCACAGTGGCCTGGGAGCACCGGGGAGGAACCACCTTAATCTGCTGCTCATTTCTTGCAGCGGTTATGCAAGTAAGTATAAGGACCCCTGTTTTATAAGTGACGACCTTGAAGCCTAAAGAGACAGATACCGTGCCCCAGGTCACCAGCTGCTAAGCGACAGTGGCTGCTGAGAGCTTGGGCCTGGCAAAGGGCCCTCAGGACCGCCTGGAACTGTCCCTTTCTGTGCAGTTCACGCCCAATGGGCTGTGTGCAGGTTTCAGACAGCATCGCGCTGCCGACCACGGCTGCTGAGCAGCTTCTCCCATGTGCCCTAGCGCCCTTTGTAGGAAACCATAGGCCCACAAAGGCACGGGGACCCAGGACTGCCTTCATCTCACTCTGCGGCTGTCCCTCTGATCTCATGGTCCACAAGCTGCAAACGGTGTTAGCGAAGGAACCCTTCTAGCCCATGCATCACAGCTGTAGTTCATCTAATGAACACAGCAGCCAGTGAGTGAGTGCTGAGCTCTCCTGGGCGGAGGTAGGGGCCGGCAGCCAGAAGGCCCTCTCCTCACTGCTCTCCGCTCTCTGAGACGGCTGAGCGTTTTCTGAGCAGCAGCCACAGCTACATCACATGAGTCAGTGCTGGGGATGAGAAGGGCTTTGAGCTTTGTTTTCTGATTTGAGAAAAACAATTGCATGCCTGCCAGAGTGCCCGCCTGCCAGCAAGCTGCTGCACCTCATGGACCCCTGGGCAAGGGAGCGCAGGGCTGGGTCCGTGGGCTGTGTCCGTGGGCTGTCCACCAGAACGCTGACGCTCAGCTGGCACCGCCACCATGGCATGATCAGATTTGAGTCCTGCTTTTAGCATGGCCAGTGCCTGTTGGCCCAGCTGGCTTTACAGCTCCTTGTGTGGGAGGGAGAAGAGCAGAGGGATAGAGGTCCCCACACTCAGGGGACCTATGTTGCAGGCATCTGCGACGTAGGGCAAACAGTTGGACCATGCAGGAATAGTCAGGAACCAGCCTTTTATGTACCCTCTGAGCCCTCTGACCACCAGCATCTATGTGGCTGACAGTGTCTGGCCACCTTACTATGAGGTTTTGTAGCCACAAACCTGTTCCAGGCCTGTGTTAGTGTTACAAAGCAGACTCAGCAAGAGGGGAGCCCCAGCTAGCTCACACTCAGTAAATGGCTTAAAGCTCTAAAGCAGGAGGCATAATGAGAGCCCATAAGCCTTCCAAACCCGAAGCCGGCAGACACAAGTGGATGAAGGTGTGTCTGCCGCCTTCTGAGTCTCTGCTCTGAGCTCCTCAGGCCCCCTCCTTCATCCCGGCTTTACTGGACAGCTCCCTGTCTCATCCACAGCAGTTGGATGCTGTCCTTTAAAAACCAAAAACAAAAAATGTTTGTGTGTCTTGTCTTCTAATTGCTTTTAATGAAAAATATCTAATTGTGGTAAAATGCACATAACATAAAATTGACCATCTTAGCCATTTTTAAGTATACAGTTTAGTGGCATTAAGCACATTCATATTATTTTGCAACCATCACCATCATCCATCCACAGGACTTTTTCCTCTTTCCAACTGAAACTCCATGTTCATTAAACACTAGCTCCCCATCCCCTCTCCCCCAGCCCCTGAACCACTGTTCTACTTCCTCTCCCTATGAATTTGACTACTCCAGGTCCCTCACGTAAGTGGAATCACACAGTATTTGTCCTTTAGTGTCTGGCTTATTTCACTTAGCATAACATCCTCAAGGTTCATCCATGTTGTAGCCGGTGTCAGAATTTCATTCTCTTTTTAAAATTGAATAGTGTTTCATCGTATGGGTAGATCACATTTTGTTAATCCACTTATCTCTCCATGTACATTGGGTCGTTTCCATGTTTTAGCTCTTGTGAATAATAGCTCTGAACAGGGTGAAAAATATCTCTTTGAGACCCTGGGTTCAACTCTGTTGGGTATAAATCAGAAGTGTGATTACTGGATCATAAAGTAATTCTTTTCCATAGTGGCTGCAACATTTTACATTCCCGCCAGCAGTGTGTGCACAGGAGTTCCAATTTCTCCATATCCTATCGACACTGTTATTTTCTGGAGTGTTTTTTTTTATAGTAGCCATCCTAATGGATATGAGGTGATACAAATCCTTCTTTTTGAAAGAGTGTCTAGCATATGCATTCTGAAGATGTAATGGGATTCTAAAGAGAGACTGTATCTCTTTATGAAATATTTAGGTGAGTTTCTAATGTCAGCCAAACACGTGTGCACTTGTGAGTATGCACACACCACATGTACACACATACACACCACCTGTGCCTGGTAGCATGGCTCCAGGTGCTTCTTGGGTACCCAGGTCACACAAGTCATGGTGCTCGGGGGCTTCACCCACCCCCACTGCGGTGATCGCCATTGCAGGAAGCACGTGCACACTGCACTCTCGTAAGTCAGGTCTCTCCTTGTGTTTGTCTCTTGGCTGCAGAACCACGACCATGCCTGCATCGCCTGTCGAATCATCCACCGGTCGGATGAGCACCACCCTCCCCTCCTGCCCCCCAAGGCTGACCTGACCGTGGGCCTGCATGGCGAGTGGGTGAGCCAGCGCTGTGAGGTGCGGCCCGAGGTCCTCTTCCTCACGCGCCACTTCATCTTCCACGACAACAATAACACCTGGGAAGGGCATTACTACCACTACTCGGACCCTGTCTGCAAGCATCCCACCTTCACCATCTACGCCAAGGGCCGCTACAGCCGCGGCGTGCACTCCTCCAGGGTCATGGGGGGAACTGAGTTTGTGTTCAAAGGTAGGTCTTCTGCCTGAAATCCCAGCAAAACAGCCCAATGCGTGAGAGAGAGGGAGCAGTTTTGTGACTTTTGTTTAGGCAGCTAACCCAAGGGAGAGGTCCGCTTTTCTGCTAGAGATGTTGGAGAAGAGATTAGGGAACGCTTTCTGCCCCAAGGCCAGCATTTACAACAGCCTCTGAGCCCTCTCTGCCAGCCAGGGTGGGGCCGGGGAGCCCACACCCTGTGCACGGTGCCAGGTGTGGCCCAGGAGGATGCTACTGGGAGTGAAGTCTCAAGTCTGCGCATTTCCTTTCTTATGTGCTGCTCCTGGCGTATTCTGAGCTACCCCTACAATAACATCACCCTCACTGCATGCACTGCTTTCTTTAGTGAGCGATAAAAAGCAGGTATGAGTGACACGTCAGGGACTCGGAGCTGTCATTTCCAATGCTGGGCTTGTCCTGTGCAAGGAAATTGTCACGTGCTCGAAGATGGGAGGCTTAGAATACATAATGAGTGAGGAAGGTGAGAAATGAGGGTCACTGGGCTGTTATCAGGAAGAGAGTCTTTTGGACTCTACATCTAGATTTTTTTAAAGCTTGTACACCTTTGTAAGATGGTGTCAGCCCTGTCCTGGCGAAGAGGGACGGCCTGGACCCTGGGGATGACCGCTCCCAGGATAGCGTTCCATGGGTCAGTCTATTTACTCTAAAGTATTTCTGATGACCCAGTTAAGTCCTAGGGCGTCTTAGCCTTCCTCTTAAGAAAGGAAGATTTGCTCCAAGGAGAATGGACCTTTGGTAGCTGTAGCCAAGAGAATGGACACATGTGTCTGATTCGACCCAAAAGCTCTCTGGTATATAGAATGCAGTCCCCTGGAAGGGTCTTCAAAAGAGGTCCTCTTATCAGTTCCAGAATTTGTATTTAATGTATTTATTCATTTCTCTTGTTTGTAGCCTAATTTATTTTAGTTGCCCAATTTATGGGCCAGTATTAATTTGCAAGACTTCTAACTAGTATAGGTATTTGATACCAAATATGTTTAAAAACCTTAAAATCTTTTCATTAAAAAAAATTCCAGTTTCATTGAATAGTTTGTCAATCCCAAAGAGTCAGTGTTACCAAAGACAATTGCGATCCATTGCAATCTGGGCTCAGCCTGTGTACACCCAGTGTAGGCCACTTTGACCGACATACATGTGGAGTGATTGTCATCCAGAGCAACACGTTGCTCTTTCCACCTGAGGGTGCTTTGACGCGGGCCGTGGTCAGGTGGGTGGGCATCAGGGTTGGTTCTAGGGCAGAAGGCCTTGTGGGGATGCAGTGCTGCGGGCAGGTGCTCCGTGGGCTTTCCGCACCCACCGCACGCTCACTCCCCGAGAGTCACGGAACTGTCCTCTCTCCTTTGCAGTGAATCACATGAAGGTCACCCCCATGGATGCGGCCACGGCCTCGCTCCTCAACGTCTTCAACGGGAATGAATGTGGGGCTGAGGGCTCCTGGCAGGTGGGCGTCCAGCAGGATGTGACGCACACCAATGGCTGCGTGGCCCTGGGAATCAAGCTACCTCACACGGAATACGAGATCTTCAAAATGGAGCAGGACGCCCGCGGCCGCTACCTGCTGTTCAATGGCCAGAGGCCCAGCGACGGGTCCAGTCCCGACAGGCCCGAGAAGAGAGCCACGTCCTACCAGATGCCCTTAGTCCAGTGCGCGTCCTCTGTGTCCCGGCCCGAGGACTTCTCCTTCTCCGAGGACCACAGGGCTCAGCAGTACAGGAGCCGGGCGCCTGGGAGGAGCGCCTGTCCCCGGCGGCTTGCTGCGCTTGCCTGCCTTTTGACTCTACTGCACTGGAACAGCCTCAGATAGACATGTTTTCCAAGTTCTATTTGATCCACACCAGGTTTCCTTGCAATTGGCAGTTTTTTCCTTAGGAAAAGCAAGGACGCTGCTGCCGATGCACTTGAGTGCCCGAGAACTGTCCTGCCCTTTCTCCTCGCCTCGCCCCCTCCCAGCCGGAGTCATGAGCAGCTCTGTTTGAAGTTCCTGCTTTGAACTCTGTCCAGTCGGGGCCCTGGTCTGGGCGCCTTCACAGTAGTAATTGCACTTTAAGACCGCAGAGCGTTTGGTGGAGGGAGCAGGGGGCGAGCGAGGCCCGCTTCTTTTCTTCCTCTTAATTATGCTTCGGTTTCTGAGGGGAACTTAGAAGAAGTGAATAGCAAGCTACAGCTTTTTATTGTGGTTGCTTCCTGTCCTCCTTTGAAGGTGTTTCCTCTCGGCGTTTTACAGCCTGGAATCCGGCAGAGGGTTGTTGGTTTGGGACTGCAAACCAGACACTTTTTATTAATAAAGAAGAGACTTGGGTGTAGATATGTACATAGCAAAAGACCCACGATTTACCTTAACCACCTTGACAGCCTTGATGCAAAAAAGGAGAGCATCCAAACTTTCTGATGTTGAGTGGAAAAGTACCTGTAATTAAAGTTTCAAAGTAATTTAAACTATTGTGGTTTTAGCTCGTTGGGAACAGAGATGGTGGCTAGACGCTGTTTTCTGGGCGGTTGGGGAATGCTTGCTGCTGTCCTACCTGCTAAGGAGACAAGGGCAGCCGGGCAAATATGGAAAGCGGTCCTGTTACCAGGCAGGAACGTGGGCTGGCGCCTGTGTTAAATGCCACATAAATGATAGAGTACCCCTGGTTCCACAGTTCCCCCTTCCTGGGACCCTCGTCTTGGCTCAGGCTGTATCTATCAGGGGTGAGCAGACGGTGCTTCACTCTGGCATGTCTGCTGCCTCCGAAGATGAGCAACAGAGACCACACAGGTGTTCGAGGGCCGGGCTGGTCAAGGAGATGCAGTGGGAGCTTCCGAGGTGAGTGCTCCATCAGGCCCTTGACGCGAGTGAAACCCGGACTTTGTGTATAGGCTCCTTACCAGGGGGCATGCCAGCTTGACTCAGTTTCTGTCCTGCCATTACTTTGGCTCTGTCACTGCCGAGTGTCAGGTCACCTGGTACAGACTGCGAGCTGCTTTCTCACAGGCCAGGGGAGTGTGCAGGAATCCTGTCTGCCCATTCCTTTGCATTATCACAAATGGTGCTATCTGAACACCCCGTGTAATTGCCAGTAGAGACTGGTGGAGGGAAATGATGAGTAACTGAAATCCTGGATGTGGCTAAAGGTGAACATGGAAACCACGATCGAGGTCAAGAGTCATACTTGTATTTAAGAAATAAATTTATGAAATGCTATAGCATTCGCTGTGGTGTTAAGTTACAAGGATGGCATGGAGTGCCAAAGTGCTTTATCTCTAGGTTATATTTTAAGTTGTGGTGCATACGATGGGGGTTTATTCCAATGAAAGTACTAACTTAATATCTGCCAAGTTTAACAAACAAAGATGTCAAAAATACTCCCAGAAGATACAGTTTACCTGTGGATCTATTTAATTAATACTAATGCTATCTTTAAAGGATATAATAAAATTATGTGAAATCTATGCTCACTGCCAAAGAATACCTCAGTGATTTACTATAAAAGTGGTATATTTATAGTCACTTAATTCACAGCTTAGACTTATCTATTCAAGCTTTAAAAAAGTACATTACATATATATGTACACACAAATATATACACACATATATACATATACCCAAATATATAAGTAGTAACATGTATACAATGTAATATATAATTTAGGGATAACAAGAAATTCATGCGATCATGTCACTTCCTAATGCAGAGAATGATCAATATGTTTCATTCCCAAATTAGTGACACAATTAGACTTACACCTGTTGCTTACTTTATCACCCACATATATCACATCTTACATTGTTTTATGTCAGTCATGTTAATACAAATAAGTGTCTTTAAAAGTAAGCCCCCATGTATCCCATGAAGATCTTCCCAAGTTTTCCCATCATCTTGAAGAAATCTATCTTCAGAAGTCATTCAGGTTTAAGAGTCAGAAATTTTAACTTAAGACCAAGATGCTATCTCTGAGAAAAGTATGACTGAGTCCAGAATATTCTACAGCAAGCTTAAAATACTCCGTAATATGTACTCTGGTGCTGGCAAGTCTACCCCTAAGTTAGTAGCAGGTAGTTCTACTTGAAAATACTAGGTTTGGGGAATATAGTGAAAAGGTGGATGTTCTAGACTTCACTGGCTTGCTGGGACTGTTCAACACAAGTAGCAATTGACTGTAACAGGATATTAATTATATTCTAATATAGATCATTCATAAATGCAATTTCTTTATGAAAAAGTTTCCATCGTTTTTGTTTGTATACAATTTGCAAAACTAAAGCAGAATTAATATGCACAAGTCTGCAAAGATTGCCAGGGTAAATGATTTACAACTTACTTTCAAAAAACTATCAGCCACAACTGGGCCTTCACATGGCCTATCTTTTTTTAATAAAAATATTTGATGCCAGCCTTCCTTCCAGTGCCTGAAACTATACTAGTAAACTTTTTTGAATGAGTTGAAATTAAGGAAGCACTACATACTAGTATACTAGAAGAGAAGAAAGTTCTATTAGTTTGAGATTTCAGTATTCCCCCAAGCCAGGACCAGTACCTTGGTGAGAGCTGGACTAGAATGTGAGTGTGTGCAGATGGCATCCCTGAGGACTCAGAGCTTCAGAGAACCGTGAGTGGTCCAGCTGCATAACCTACTGAACTGTCTTGCCATTCTCTACACTGGCTTTGACTGGACATATGTCAAAAAGAAAAAGCTCATATTCATTCTATTCCCCTGTGATAGCATTTACTGACACCCTGGGATGTCTTTCACCTATGGTATTATGGTCTTTCTTCAAGTAATTGCTAAAAGATACAGGGCCGTTCTATGATACTCATACCCATTTTATCTAGATGTCCCGTGGGTCTATAAATCTCCCCCTGGCATTTAGTGTAGCAATTGTAACAGAACCTTTGCCTTTTCCCAGGCTTTAGCTGCATAAGGCAAATGCATTTCAACACTGTGTTCACCTTCATCGGTCTGCAGAGACTTGTGTTCGGGCATTCCTGCCTTCCATAGTTCTCTATCCATTGTTTGGTGGACACAAGGTCACACAGAGGTGTTCTCTCTATATCCACACTGGAAAGGGCACCTCCAGAGAGAGTGGCACTCGATGAGAAGGCCCGAGGATGAAAGTTCTTTGAGTAATAGATGGATCCACTGGTTTGTAAGCATGAGCAGCACAAAAGGCCCACAGGGTGTATATCCGGCGTGGGGTGCAACAGTGGCTCTCACAGGTCTTCTTATAGACTGTTTTGTGAAAACCCTGCTGTCATGAGGCTGTGTTCTCGCCACCGGCTTCCCAGTGGCAGACCACTCAATTGTACATCTTGGTGCCTATGCCACCCAAGGTGCAAGAGGATGAATGAGGGGCAGCGTGGCAGGTGCAACTACTGGAGCAGACCAGACACCTTGGGCCCAGCACAGGAGGAGGGGTCATCCCGGCCCAGGGGGATGGAGGATGGGGAGAAGGCAGTGGTGCAGCTACAGCACCCATCACCACAAACTCCGGTGACCTCCAGAAGATGGGGACCGTTGGGGCTTCACTGTAGACCTGGAAGCCCTGGCCCTGCCCCAGGAGTTGCGGCTGCTCCCCAGCCTGGGCTGGTTCCAGGAAGTTGTGGCTGCTCCCATGACCTCCTCCCCTCCCAGTGGCCTCTAGGAGCCACCATCAGTGACCCAAACCCTTGACTCTGTCCACCCCATCCCCCCACCCCTGCGGGACTTCTACCTATTTGAAAATTAGATGATTATTATTTTTTTTGTTATTGGGTTGTAGACGTTTCTAATATATTTTGAATAGTAACCCCTTGTCAGATATAGAGTTATATGCAAACATGTTCTCCAATAAACTAAGGAGGTGAAAAACTTGCACCCTGAAAACTACAAAACACTGATGAAAGAAATTAAAGAAGACACAAATAAATGGAAAGAGATCCCATGTTCATGGATTAGAAGAATTAATATTTTAAAATGTCCATATTACTCAGAGAGATGTACGGATTCAATGCAATCCTATTAAAATTTCAATGGCATGTTTTGCAGAAAGAGAAAACAATTCTAAAATGTATGTGGGACCACAAAGGACCCTAAATAACTAAAGCTATCTTGAGAAATAAAAACAAAGCTGGAGGTACCATACTTTCTGATTTCAAAATATATTGCAAAGCCATGGTGATTAAAATAGTATGTTATAAGCTAGTATGTTACAGCACCTGGCATAGACCAATGTGACAGAATGGAGAGTCCAGACTTAAACCCACACTAATATGGTCAACTGTTCTCTGACAAGGGCGCCGAAATGCATAAGGATAGTCTCTTCAACTAAAGGTGTTGGGAAAACTGGATATCCAGATAAAAAGAGAATAAAATTTGACCCTTGCACTATACACAAAAGTCAACTCAAAATGGATTAAAGACTTATATATGGAGACCCAAAACTGTAAAACTCCTATCAAAAAACATAGGAAAAAGGCTTCATGACATTAGTCTTGGCAATGATTTCTTGGAGAAGATTCCAAAAGCACAGGCAACAAAAGCAAAAATAAACAAGTGGGATTATATTAAAACAAAAAGGCCTTTTCACAGCAAAGGAAGCAATAGCATGAAAGAGCAACCTATGGGGTGGGAGAACATACTGCAAACCATATCTAATAAGAGGTTAATATTCAAAAAACATATAAGAAACTCTTGTGATTCAATAGAAACTAACAAACAAAACCTCAAACGAACACAAAGGATTTGAATAGATCCTTTTCCAAAAAATTATATTTTATATTGTGTCTATCTTGAATTTTTTTTTTTTTTTTGCCATGGAAACAACTGAATGATGTCACAGATGGATTGCATAAATATGGAAGCTGAGGCTTCACAAAACAGTTGGTCAAAGATGAGAAATAGCTCTGATTTCCAAATATAAATAATTTCAATAGCCAAGAAAGCAAAGTCTCTGGTACAATAAAATGCATTCTCTAAAGAATCTTCTTTGAATGTGTTCCAGAACAAATGTCTATCTACAATATTCATAGCAAACTCTAGCCAACCTCTGCATTTCCTTATTAGCTTGAAACTAAATGGCAGGAAACACCCAGGGCACCAATAATACTTCAGAATCTTGTGCCAGTTTCAAACCGAGTAGACTATACTATGGAGCTAGTTTCTAAATTCTTTGAAAAATTCCATTGAAATCAGAGATAACAAACTTGAAAGGCAAGTCCTTTTCTGAATCAATAAATAAAACATCAAAGTGATTATTGAGCCAAAGATCCAAAGAAGTCATGTGCAACTTTCAGCATAATAAAGCAGTGAATATGAATTCAAATGAGCAGCCTGATATAATAAAACAAACAAACAAACAATACTATCTATTTCTGGAGCAACCATTCTCCTAGGGAATGATGTAGGCATTAACATCACTGTACTGTGCCCAATTGTTCTCTTGTGCCTGGTTTCTGAACATTTTTTCAGACCACAGAGGGCCGATAAATTCACTTTTCACTTTTAATTCACTTGAAGAGCAGCAAGATGTTGGAGAGAATGGTGGTGCTAAAAATAATTAAAAAGTAATTGGAACTCTGGAAGCCCACAGTTCTGTGACAATATATAAATTTTAGGAAGAGAATGTAAAATCTCTTATCTTAGCTGACCCATCTAATGATTTGTAAGAAATCCAGAAAGACACAGATCTTGTTGAGGGAACTGCTTTCTCATTTTGCTGCTTCATCTGATCAAGTTGGGCAGAACTGTCGTTTCCTACAGCCTTTCTAGGGTGCCTTGTGCTCTGTGCTTCAGCTTTCTTAGACGTGCGGTGGAAAGAGTATGGGCTTTGGAGCAAACAGGCATGTGTTTGAATTCCTGCTTGCCCACTCCCCTCTGGCCCCCTTTGGGTAAGTCCTTCAGCTTCTCTTTGCTCAATATCCCCACTTATGTAATGAGAACCATGACCTAGTAGAATAGAAGCTTTCATAACAGACCTGCATTTATCAGTGTCCTGGATTCATGGACTCTCCCATTTCCGCTCGGGAATATGCTGGCTGATGCCCATGACCTTGGTGCTTTAGCACCTTGCTCCCTGGGTGTGAACCATCAGCATTGCATCCCATGTGAGGTTGTGAGAGATGCACAATCCAGGCCCCATTCCAGACCTGCAGAATCAGAATCTGTGTTTCAATAAAATTTTTCTCTCTCTCTAGGTCATTCTTGTACACATTAAAGTTTGAAAGATGCCACCAGATGAGTTGTATGCCTATTAAGTTGTTTTAATTCTCAACCTTATTTATGTTGGCTGTTCTTTTTGTTGTCATTATAGAATTAATTTCAAAGCTGATGTTTAAAAGGAGAAAATTAATAAACAAAACAATTACTAAAAATGTTTCTAAAGAGAATTTTCTCCATGAAATCCAAGTTGAATGTGTTGGGAAGATAATATAAAAGGTGATGAAAATATTGCTACTAAGTAAGGTGTAAGTAAG